CTCTCTCTCTCTCTCTCTCTCTCTCTCTCTCTCTCTCTCTCTCTCTCTCTGTCTCTCTCTCTGTCTCTCCCTCTCTCTCTCTCTCCCTCTCTCTCCTCAGATACACATTTATCATATAAGCCGCGCGGTGCGATTCGAAAACTGTTTTCAGACTTTTTTAAATTCGCTATCGCGTACTGCTAAATTTATATGTGACGAATTCTAGATAAGTTTCGCAGTGCCGTGAAAATCCTGAGCAACATTTTGATAATAGGACCGGCTAATAGGCTGGAAGTGACGGCGAGGCACTCCACGAGGCACGAGGACATTCGACAAAAGAAACTCGTTCGTTCGCGTTTGCCGATCGACGAGTCACGTCCCTTGTTCAATATTTTTCACGCTCCGTGAATTTTCCTAATTACTACGTTCCCTCCTAATCCGTGATCGAGGCGCGCGCGCGCGCGCGCACCCTCTATCGTCACCCTGAAATCTGGAACCCATATTGTAGAACCGTTTCATCGGAAATGGAGACGCTCGATCTCTTTAGTCAGACAAACTTTGGGAATCGATATGATCTTGGCTGACTATTAATGATAAAAGATATTTATTTACGCTGTAATAATAAAGAATATAAATTTTTAATATCATTTTTTTGTTACGGAATATTTGATTCAATATAAAATAAATATAATAGCTCTATGAAAATATTTATATGATAGGTGTGCATATATCGGAGAACTTACGATAAACATCACAATGGGAAGAGTATCGTATTTTGCACGATCCATTTAATTTGCATTGCCCGCATAAAATCCTCTGATCGTATGATGATCCAAGTCGATACTTCCGATAACCCGCATGAGTAAGTGTAAACAACTCTTCCAGTCTCCAGCTTCTCACACTATACTTTTTCAACTCATTCATGTCTCTGTTCGATGTTATTATAATTTTCTAATTGATTTGTTCAGTTATAATTATTATATCTTTCGTTAATTTAATCTTTTTCAACGTATCAAACTTTCCAGCAATTCTAATTCTTTTTTTAAAATTTATAAAAGTTACTTGTATCAATGTCCTTCGATGAAATATCGCGTTTCTCTTTGAGAAATTTCGCAGAGGATGCATCTCGAGCCTGGTTATTGCGTCTGCACGCGATTATGGATGATCGAGCCGTTGTGCGTGCCGCGCATACTCCTCCACTCCGAAGTGCTCCTTTCTGTGAAGCTTGCGGCGTTATCTCGGCTTCCTTGTTGTCCCTTTGATGAAATAAAGCACTATCCGCGGCGAGATCTACCCCACGTTAGTAGTTAGAGGTTCCCGGCCTCTCTCTCTCTCTTTCTCTCTTTCTCTACATGATGTGTACTACTTTCTCTTTCTCTCTTTTTATTCTCGAGTTCTCTCGACGATGCAGGACACAATGCGGCCCTTACATCTTCATCGAGTACGAGTCGTCGCTTGCGTGTAATGCGTTCACTCTGTACTTTCCATACGGGTATACGAGTTCCCATTTCCTACTGCCTCTACTTGGATTCGCTCGGACAATAGTTTCACTCATTTCTTTTTAAATCCTTGTTTCTCCTTTAAAGAAAAACATAAGATAAACATAATATAATTTAAGCATATATTTGATGTTTCATTTAGAATATTTGCATTATAAATTTTTTTCTTTTTTTGAATGGATATGAAACTGAAAATATTTGAATATTAGAATAATAAGAGAAAATTGAAAAAAAAATTATAATAATTTTAAATATTTACAAAATTATCGTTCAAAATTTGATATCTTTTTGCATATCGTATCCTTGTCCCTCATTTCTTTTATGTATAATACCAAAGAAATGGATATGATTTTTTCACAAAATATCAAGCATTGTTCTCTCGTCGATAAAGCTGATGTAAAATGCGTTTATGTCGGCAAATACAGATTCCAATGCATTCGTGCGATCTGTGCGGTTGAGAAAAAGAGAAAACGTAAAAACAACGATAAAAAGGAAAAGAGAAAAAAGAATAGAGAAAAAGGAGCCAAACGAAAGAGAGAAAGGGGCGAAAACAGAGAAAGGAGAAACTTTGGTACACGTAACTGGAGGCAGTCCGTTGGGTGGTTGAATCGTGGAGTGGAAGGCAGAGAGCCCTTATACGCTCATGAAGAAGAAGGTCCAGGTGCGCCCTCACCTCACACGACTCTGCTCCACGGCACATCCGAGTTCTCTTCTGCCTTCGTTCTCTCTCCCTTCTTTAGTTTTTTCTTTTTTTTCTTCTCTGCTCTTCTTCTCTTCTCTATTCTTTCTATTTTCTTTCCTCTGGCAGTCGGCGTTCTCTTACGCACTTCCGCCATGGTGTACGCATTGCTCTCCGGCAACGTAAAAACGCAGCAACCCATGTAATATCGTGACATACGTTGGATGCTCTGTGAATGTGTACATGCAACGCGCACGCGCACACATTTATTCGTATATTCGTACACGAGTACAGGCATCTAAAGGTAAAGAATAGGGACTGAAGTACCAGCGTGCAAAATGGATGGCGGATATAAATGCCAAGTAGCCAAGTATACGGCACTCTCTCTTACCCATTTCGTTCTTCTCTCTTATCTCGCTTGGTCTTGCGTGATTTGCCGTATTGTCCTTTTCTTATTCGTACATATCGTTTTGTACTGACTATGCCGCCTGCATTTGATAAGTATGTATTGGCCGAGTGTCTACGGTCGTTTGCGCGGTGCGAAACGACGCGGAAAGATCAAGCAGCTGCGAATAAATTTTTATGCAGGCTATAGAAACGAAGAAACGGAAATTAACCATGCACCAAAAAAATTAGAGATCACGAGATCAATATATCAATTCACTATATTTTACACCACACGTGCCTCTTTCGAACACGTGTCAAAGTGCCATCTCTGATTTTATGTAGGAAACTAGCAATTTTTCTTACCAATCACGTGCATGGAAAGACACCATAAGTGAAGTGCTCGTGTAGAGTTAAGTATATTCGATCTATGACGTGATTTATTTTTAATTAACTAGCTGTGTGATGCAGATTATCTTAGAACTCATTGACAACGAAAATTCTGTGAGATAATGCGATCGTGCTTGGAAAAAATTGTGGGTGGTCGGTTTTCGTGACAGGTCGCGGAAAGATGAGCTCTTTGCTTGACGTGTACCTCGTTACCGCGTCGGTGAAGACAAACTCAGACACCAGGGATGACGCAGCACCAGCTCCTGGTTACCTCTAGCCTATTGTTCTCCCCGCATTTCTTCTCAGCTCGTGCTCAAGTGCTCGATCGCTACCCTCCCTCGAAACCCGGATCCCTAGACGTGCTTTTAGCTCTGTACCCGCGTACGTCCTTCGTGACTAAACGGGATTGTAATTTTTTACTTGGTTAATAAAAACATCATATTATTTTTAAATTTTATGCTTGATCTCTGTGCCAAATCAACAATAATATTATAAAAAATCATTTAATCTATAAACAAAATAATTATTAAGATAATTTAACCTATTATTAATAATTTAATCTATTATTTAAACGAAAGTTCAAATATCTTATATTACGAAAAAATTGATTATATATTTTATCATTACGAACATCCGATGATCAAAATAAGGACAACGGTAAGATTCAGAGATTCAGTAATCGAATGAGCAATCGGATAGCAAAAAGAAGAAAGGTGACGAGATGCGACCCCCCGTGAGGTTTCCCGCGCGGGGCACCCGCCTGTCGATAATGTCCCATACCAGTTACCGACAAGAACTTCACCTGCGTAACGCTTCGATTCCGTGGTTGACCCCCCATGCGAAATGGGCCCCCTGCTTGCGTCATGTCGATTCCTTGACTTCGATTGTCCAGTCTCGCGGAAATAACGATACGTTCGTATGGAGAAAGCGACAAATGCCACCGGTATGTCGTCACCCTGTCGTGGGTCTAAAACGTCGAGTAAAACTGAGCACGTTCGCCCCTGGTGGCCTCGCCGTGTGTGGGAACCTCTGATCTCGCGATTTTCCTTCGTCGTTCGAACATAACCTCTTGAGAATTCAGCGAATAGCCGATAGGCATATGCGTTTCTGTCGGGTATTAAAAGTGCGCGGGCTTAATTTTTACAAAAGCGTTGCCTGTGCACCCTGTGTGCTACCTTCTGCTCGATAAACAATATACTATCGTGTACACGCCAACGGGCCGATGAGTGGCCTCCCAGTACAATGCCATCTTATGACATTTTCGAGTTCGACCGTTGTTGTCGAGTGCTTAAGTGCTCGTTATACACGCCGCGTCAAGCTTTTGTCGTAGCAACTGTTTTTTCGGGCGTCGGTTAAGTGTGTCCGGGAATATGAGTTCGTGAGTCTTGTTTCCTATAGACGAGAATCGAAAATTAATAACGGACCAAATAAATCTTGTGGCTTATACATTGCGATTTAACGAATATTGTGCCAGTGAAATTAATGTTCGTACAATTAATAATATAGATACAGCGAATAACAAATCAACCAATCGATGTAAGTAATATCAATCTTTCTATCTATCGATATTTTCAATAATTTATTAATCGTTTTAATTTCTTGATATTAATAAGTAATTTTAACGTTAAGGTAATATAATAACGAGAGATTCAATTGATTGCGATAAATAATCAATTTTCGCCGGCTTTTTCCGATTGATATAAAAGATCGAGAGAGAAAAGAGCGCGAAGAAAGTCTCGGTCAGTAGGTAGAAAGCTGGCTGTCACGGAGAAACATTTTCTATCGTCTTCGAGCGATTTACTTCTAGAGGTCAAGCTCGCCCACGTAACCAGCTTCACTTCAGGATTTCAGGGGCGTATCCACGGGGCGTGTTCACGGAGTCGGTAGGATCGACTAGGGGCGGAGTCGTTTCCCCACCGTTTCCAACGCGCGATTTTTGCTCTCGGCAGGAACGCACACGCATATCCGCTATGTATATACATGTAAGTCGCTGATTTCTCGTGTGAGTAACACCGTGACGTCGCAAGTTCGGACACGGGTCACAGACAGTAGACTTTGCCGAGTTTTCTTCGGCCGATCGCCGGCTAAACGATTTCTTATGCCGCGACATTGAACGCTTCGTTGTTGAAAAACCGCGTTACAATTTTTTTTTCTTATATTCTCTGTCTTTTCTTTTAACAGAGTGCGCTTCCTTATTTGACGAACTTATACGAAGAACAAATCTTGTGAGTGCATCGAGCGTCAACGATACTTTTCAATTGTTCGGTGTTTTCTAACCTTAATTTTTCGTTAAGTTACCAAGACTTGAAATTGCGACGTATTAAATGTAACTTTTTTTTATCCTTTTTTTTTCATTATATCATTTCTTCTGTCCTTTCTGGATATAATATTTTCATAATTAGTAATTAGTTCTCTAATATTCTCATCAATGAGAAAAATAGCTATGAAATGTGTCAAGTTTTGATCAAATTTATATACTGAATTATTAGAATTTGAAAATAGTATCAAAGATTATTAAAACAGAAATTTCACGAAAATACATTTGCAAAAACATGAATGAATATTTCATTCTTTCTTTCTAAATAATAAAGAAAGAATGAAATATAGAAAAAGATTGAAATAAATTTCGATAATTTTCATCATATAATATCAACGTTTCACAATCATGATATAACATGAATCTCGATATATATAGTAATAATATCTATCAAATCTTGGATATTTTTGACCAAAATTGGGATTTAATAACGGATCGACGAAATATCCATTTCAGGTGGCGCGATTGATTGCACATATAGATATATCTTACGTACGGTGAACGAGGGAATATCGCAAATTCCGTGACGGTACGGATGGCAAAGGCATTCTGGCGTAGCAATTACCTGCAGGGCGAGGGAGTCAAGTAGCAATATCTGGACCTGTTATCCAGTTCGGTTATCCCGACTGGAATGCTTTGTGTCGCCGGCAATCTGCATTTCTACCTGTTTGAATGGAAGTCTATGAGATTCGCGGCATGATTTCAAATGAAATCGACTCTTTGTCCTCCGGCCGGAAATTTCCAATTCAATAACGTGCTCAGGGAAACGCTGCAGAAACGACTGATTGACTGATATCTACCCAGAATTGGATGGGACGCGAAAAAATGGAGAAGTTTTTCTATCCATCGTCCATCATTGGAGAAACTTGAATGCCTTACATTTAGTCAAGATTTTAGTTTTGACTTATCTGAATCTTATTAATGTTTTTCACGTTTAAGTATCGTCTTAAAATTTCATAAAATTTTATATAAAATTTTAAGTTTTCATCGTTTAGAAACAAGTATTAATAAAATATTTGAAATATTGAATTTCAAAGAATGTATGTTTGAAAATCTATTTTAGCGAGGATTCCTTTAAGAGAATTCTTCTATTGGAACCTATGAATGACGAATGCCAAGAACTTGCTCGACAACCCTTTGTAATGCATTAGAATTTCGCAGCTATCAACAAGGGAGGAAGACGACATTAGCATCAAGGCTAAGGACACCCTTGCCTCGCATTCGCGTCTTAGATCGAAACAACCCCATGTTTTCGTTGGCCCAGTATTCATGAACGAGGTTTCAACGTGGGGCATTCGACTTCCTTCTCCTTCATGAATTTACAATCGACCGAAGGATTCGCGTAAACGAAGCTTACGTGTGCCATTTCCAGAGAAATAGCATTAAATATAGAAATTTAAATATCGATTCTAAAAATTTCAAACAAATTTCACTACGAGTGAAAATATCCCCTAGGTATCTATTTTATGATATATTCTGTTAATATAAATTTAATAATTTTAATTTTTATTTCTTACTACATATAATATAACATTTGTAGATCACATCATCATTCGAACACTATATCTATTCCTAATAACATTTTTCATTTATATAATAATAGATAATCGGAAAGAAAACAAAATGTTCGAAAGATTTATTAATCGTATCAAAAACAGTAATAAATTCGTGGTCCAGCTAATAAAGGCGGTTAGTGTTGAAAGAAGGGAGAAAAGGGAGCAATAATAACGAGAAAGATAGCAACTGAAGGTTTAGTGGACAAGGGTTAACGGGGTGAGGGAAAGCGGATGGAGGCTGAAGCCACGTGCTGCTGTCACTGGCACAGATTATATTATATAGGAATGGCAGCGAATAGGTGTAGATATAAGCGTCGAGCGGCAGTTAATAAATATGATAATGGCGGGTGAAGCGAGAGAAAGAGAGGTATGTGTGGGGTGCGATATGGGATACCAGTGTATAAGAGTGACCACCAGAAGCAGAGGCCTGTCACTGTCAGGACCTCTCATATGTCATACGGTATACGCACGCACACACACACAAAGGCACACGATGACAACATTGAGCGCGAAACGTGTGTGACCATTTTCCCATTTTTCTACTTTGATGTGATGCGATTATACGCGATTTCGATTCGCATAAAGCGAAATTTTTGATTTTGATGTGAAACTAGCTTCCTTTTTCAAATTCATTTTTTTTTTTCAGATAATAAAATTTATCGAAGCAATACATATTTAATAAATTTATATAATTCTAGTAAGTGTTTGAAGATGATGATCGACCATTTTAATAAATATATTCGACACACGATTAATACAACTTATACTTTCTTTCTTTTCTACTTTAGACTTCTAAGAAGATGAAGAAACTATAAACTGCATAAGATTTAGCATTCGGGAAAGAAATGCAAAATTGTTGAAGGATGATCGTCAATGGTGGCGTTAATTCGTGAAATTTCATAATATCATGACGAAAATGTTGGAGCGGGAAAGGAAAGAAGAGAATGAAGAATACGGCCGGAATTTCCCCTCGGCTTTCATTAATCTCACTTCCGCAGCAGAAGTCGGAAACAGTTTTCTGTCGAGCAACCTTTTCCCTTTTGACCCGGTAAATTGCGCGCGCGCACGTGTATACTACACGCTATGTGTACCTGTAGCCTCTCTTCCAGGAGCAATTAGTCACGGTGCTCTTGATAAATCGCCGGAATCCTACCCCCGTGGGGTTAAGTCCCGGCTGCAGACCCTCGGCAAATATCCAATAACAACCGGCCGACTCCTGATGGTTGCTTCCTCTCTCTTTACCTGTATGCCGGGCATTAACCTTCACCTATCGAAGAGATCGGCTTACCTTAATAATCGTAGCTACACCGTCGCATTCTAAGGGGGTTAGGACGTTACGAGGCCAGGAACACGCGGCGGCACTGGGCTCGCGCTAGGGTGTTTCCATGGTTGCTAGTCGCGAAGCTGATTCGTTCCACGCCATGAGAAACGGGCAATGATCAAAAATCGTCAGAGATGTAATGAAACATTCTTAGTATTTTCTCTTTGTTGGACAGGAAGAGTAAAGGTTGATTGTTAAGCTCGATTATTGGTTTCTCTGATAAAAGGGAAGGTAATTAGTTGAGCTTTTGTCAGATCAGTGTTGAAGAGGATTATATCTTTTTATATATATATATAAATTAAATTATAATCCGTGATGATGATGATAATATAGATTTCTTAAAAATGACAATCGATATTCTCTCTGTGAAATATTTTGCAAAATTTCTAGAAATTTTATATTTTTCTTTTTTATAGATATAAATTTTTATTTTCGTACAAAGAATTCTTTAAAAAATAGAGCGCATGTATATACCTAATACAAAGAAAACAATTGCAATTGTTCTGATGACTTGCTGAATCTTGCTGATCAGCGCTTTTAGGGTCGTGTCAATTCGCGTCCCATTCGGATGTATTCAATCCTTCGTCGAATCTCGAGGGTTAACAAGAAAAGAGAGGAAAAAATACAAAAAAAGAAAGAGAAAAAGAGAGAGAGAGAAAGTTAGGAAAAATAGGATAGGATAAATATATAATTCGATGCACTACGTACGCAAATTTAAGTTTTCCTTTGAATAAGTATCATTTTATTAATATCTCTGTCGTTATTTACAAAACTTTGTAATAATCTCTAATTTTTTTTTTTTTTTTTTCACCGTCACACGCTACTCG